AAGCCCGCGAGCCACAACTACTGAAGCCCGCGAGCCACAACTACTGAAGCCCACGTGCCTAGAGCCCGTGCTCCGCAACAAGAGAAGCCACCGCAATGAGAAGGTGTGCACCGCCTGCACACCTCAACGAAGAGTAGCCCCCGCTCGCCGCAACTGGAGAAAGCCCACGCGCAGAAACAAAGACCAAACACAGCCAAAAATACATGTTTAAAAAAAAAAAAAAAAAGCCCAGCTCTTTAACAAAAAAGAAAAAATGGTCCCTGAGAAGTGGAAAAGAAATGAAGTGAGCCCTACACTGCCCCAGCTGACTGCTTGGAGACGGTTTCCAGGCCACGGTGCAGGGCAGGAAGCCAGGGAGACTCCCTGAGTTAGGGAGGTGGAGCTGACAGTCCGGGGGGCCAATGCAGCTGGAGTTCACAGGACAGGGTGTCAGAAGGAAGAGAGGTGGTGCCAGAGACAGAACTCCAGAGAGCTGCAGGGGTCCCCCCTCAGACCTGATTAGAACATCCTTATGCAGAAACTCCTCCAGGCCAGGGAAAGGACCACCCAAAGAATTAGATGGCAACACAACCCCTGAGTTCACACAGGGCCAGACACAGTTCCAGTCTCCACTAGCCAGAATGGAAACCCCATAACTACAGGGCGGGTGGCAGAGTGCCCAGCAGGGTCTTGTCCAACAGTGAGGAATGATCAGCATAGGTTAGGCACTGCTCTAGGCCTGCCCAACAAAGTTTACAAACAAGACCCGAAGGGATCAAACTGCTTCCAAATAACAGCCGCACCCAGAACAGAGCTCAGGAATGTTTATAGTAGCATAAACATACCCAGCACCCAACACGTTAAAATTCACAATGTCTGGCATCCAGTAAAAGTTTACCAGGCATGCAGAGAAGCAGGAAAATCTGACCCATAATGAGAAAGCTCAATCAATTGAAAGCACCCTAGAAATGTCACAGGTGATAGACAAGGACATTAAAACAGTTGTTATAGCTGCACTTCACATGATTGAGAAGCTAGAAGAAAGACTGAATGTCTTGGAGACATTGAAGGTACAAAAACCCCAACTGAACTTTTGGAAAATTATGATGTCTGATGTAAGAAATACATTGGGTGGGAGTAATGCAGACTAGAGATTAGACATTGAAGAGAAAACTATTAGTAAACTGCAAACATAAAAATAAAAACTATTGAAAATAAAACAGAGATTTAAAAAGTGGGGACTGGGGGAAGAAAAGAGCATTAGTGAACTGTGGTCAACGTCAAGGGCCTGACATACATGTAATTGGTGTCTCAGAGGAGGGGGGAAGGTGAGAAACATTTGCAGAAATAATGACTGGAAGTTTTACAATCTTGACATAAATGATAAACCCACAGATCCAAGAAGCTCAAGGAAACTCAAGCGCAAGAAGTTTGCTTATTTATTTATTTATTTTTATTTATTTATTT